AGAAATATACAAATATTTAGGATACCAGCAAAGCACCTGCTTAAATCATACAGACATAAAACAAGCCCTTAAAACAAAATACAGTCAAAGACTCAATACAATACTCAAAACCCATTTATCCGCTCGAAACAAAACCAAGGCCATCAACACATACGCAGTCCCCATACTTATGTACTCTTTCGGAATTATTAAGTGGACCGACACAGACCTAAATGCCCTAAACACAATGACACGTTCTCAAGCAAACAAACATAACATTCATCACATTCACACATCAACTGAAAGATTCACACTACAAAGAAAACATGGTGGTCGCGGGTTTATCGACATTAAAAATTTACATTATACCCAAATAGAAAACTTGCGTTCATATTTTCTTAGCAAAGCCAATAACAGCAAACTACACAAAGCTATTACTACACTGACCACAGCTGGTACCCCCCTCCAGTTCAATGACAGAGACTATGAACCTGAAACCAAGATAATAACAGAGCAAAAAAAAGTAGAAGATTGGAAGAAAAAAGCACTACACGGTAAATACCCCCACCAACTCGAACAGACTCACATAGACAAGGAAGCTTCAAATACATGGCTTACAAAAGGTAACATATTTGCCGAAACAGAAGGTTTCTTTATAGCTATCCAAGACCAAATTATTAAAACCAGAAACTACTCTAAGTACATAATTAAAGAATCGATAGAGACAGATTTATGTAGGTTATGCCATCAAAACAAGGAAACAATAGATCACATAACAGGAGCCTGCAAGATATTAGCTACAAAAGAATATATCAAAAGACATGACAACGTTGCGAAACAGATACACCAAAGCTTAGCATTGAATCATAAACTAATTAGTACATACACGCCTTACTACAAATATATACCCACCAATGTCCTTGAAAATGAAACAGTCAAACTATATTGGAATGTAGATATAATAACAGACAAAACAATAGCATGCAACAGACCTGATATCACACTTACATTAAAATCCTCAAAGACCACTTACCTCATCGACATATCCATACCTAACACCGAAAATCTGAAAACCAAGCATCAAGAAAAGATCCAAAAATATATTCCACTTGCAGACGAAATTAAAGATATGTGGCACCAAAGCTCAATAAAGATAGTACCTATAATTCTTTCATCCACAGGTGTAGTACCCAAAACTCTACATAAATCTATAGAATTGTTAGAATTACACAAATCAACATATATTAAGTTACAAAAGTCAATAGTTCTAGACACATGCTCGATAGTACGTCGATTCCTAAACCCCTCATCATTATCCCCATAGGGCCCCCGAAAGACTCAGGCAGATGCCCGTCTTTGGAAGCCAAATACCAACGAAAGTTGAGACAATATACATATATAATAATAATAATATTGCATAAATAAATAATAAATACTTTTAGTTGTCTTTATGTTTATAATACTTATTAGTAACACTAAATAATATTACTAATTAATAAACTTTCAAAAAAAATTTAATTATTATAAAAATAACACCAAAATTAAATAAATATAGTTGCCATATTCAATTATAAAAATTATTAAAAAGAAATGTTTTTTTTAAATGTTTAGTATTAAAATTAACAAATATTGTAAGATACTTTGGCGCCATGTTTCATTTTTTTTTTTAAAGATAGTTTTATTTAAAATGTCAAATAAGTATTCCCGTAAAACTAATAAAGTATTATGTTAAGTGAGTCATTATTGAATGCGTATATAAAATTTCGTATTTGTGCCGTTGACTGTTAACGAGATCTCTCATATTCTGGGTGTAGCACGGATAGAACGGGATATTATAATTGAATACCTATACAAAATTTCGTTCGTATGCTGCTGACGGCTGAGGATATGTCTCATTTGGAGCCAACCCTGGACACATCAGTCGAGTCATGGTAGATTGTAGAACGGGCTATAATTAATAATTGAATGCGTATATAAAACTAGCGGCTCACCCTCGCTTCGCTCGGGTTCGTCGCTAGGTACGTTTTAAATAGATATAAAAAGAAAAAATCTTTCTTTCTCACATTTTAATTATATGTTTTAATACTTACCTATTCCGGACTAAGAGAAATCCAAAAATTAAAATATCATAAAAATTGGAACGCGGTCGAACGGGATAAAAAGTATCCTATGTCCTTCTCCTGGCTCTAAACTACCTCCCTGCCAATTTTCAGCTAAATCGGTTCAGCCGTTCTTGAGTTATAAGCGAAGTAACTAACACGACTTTCTTTTATATATATAGACTAGCGGCTCACCCTCGCTTCGCTCGGGTTCGTCGCTAGGTACGTTTTAAATAGATATAAAAAGAAAAAATCTTTCTTTCTCACATTTTAATTATATGTTTTAATACTTACCTATTCCGGACTAAGAGAAATCCAAAAATTAAAATATCATAAAAATTGGAACGCGGTCGAACGGGATAAAAAGTATCCTATGTCCTTCTCCTGGCTCTAAACTACCTCCCTGCCAATTTTCAGCTAAATCGGTTCAGCCGTTCTTGAGTTATAAGCGAAGTAACTAACACGACTTTCTTTTATATATATAGATTTCGTGTCTTTACTGTTGACTGTTGAGAAGTTACTTCGTCTGGAGACAATACTAGGTCAGATAAGAATCATTATAAAAAGTAATTGTTATCACTTATCAGAACTGAACCCACGTCTAAAATTTCAACTCTGTAGGATAAGAGGAAGTGGCTCTAATTCAGCTTGCAAGATTTGACCCATACAAACATACCAACTAACAAACATTGCAAGTTAAATAAAAGCTTGTAAAACAGTAGAATGTAAGTCCAACGCAACTGATCACAATCGACTCATTTAAGTTGATTAGATTCTCATGTTAATAAATACACATTTACATATTTCAAAATGTTTAAGTGATACATTTGTTGTATATTAATTAATACAAAAGAACGTTTCAATGCTACCAGATTTAATTCACTGGTGAGTTCAAAACATTGCTTTAATTTTCCACCTCGGCTGATAATTTCAAGATAAATAAATATCTAAATAGTAATTCATTGGTAGATATATTAATCGGTTTCGGCACGCGGCTCTGATTTACATTAAACAGATGTTGCCACCAAACGAAGTAGTGTTATTCGATACTACACGGTACTGCTAAATGAACACAATAAAATAAGATAGAAATTATTTTCAGTATTTCTTAAGTTATCACTTTTAACGAGAACTTTGATGTGTATATTGATATCACCATGACGTGATCGTTTTTAACACCTCTTCTTGCAAAAATACTATCATATTACAAAATCGATATTTCAAGCTGTTCATCTCATTTTTATTTATCTGCCTCATGTATTAATGTTATCACTATTCATTTTGAATTTTACGTGTTAATTAAATAGAATAAACGAATCAAAATATGATCTCAAGAATATGATCTCGTTGAAGAGTTTCTTAATTCACCGCCAAAATCAAATTATTACGTTGTAAAATCGATACTACAAGTAGAAGTAAGCTAAAACCGTCTTCCAAGATTGTTATGAGGTATACGAGAAGGAGAAGTATGAGGATGTTCTCATTAGCGTCCGGCAATCCAGTCGGCATTCTCTTCTTATTCTTCTCTTCTCTGATAGCAGAGTGGACCGTGGGAGCAATCTCTTGGTTAACCAAGATATGTAGTTAGCTTCGGCAGGCCAGCCGGCCCGCCTCGTTAAGACAGAAGAGGTTCCGTTGGGATTTAGTGAGCAGTACTAGCTTTTCAAGTTGGTGAATTCCACATGACCACCTGTATGTATGCAGGTGGTATGTATAAATACCAATGTAAAGAAAAAATAATAGGCTTATTTTTTAATACCGTAACACGCGGAGTAAAATATACGGATATTAGCCAGAAGCTTTGTTCTTTTTTCACTTTCAATTAAACACGTCGTATAACATTATCTTGTAACAGAATTCTTGATCAGTCGTATTAAGATTAAGCCCACGAATAAACCAAACGAAAAGCCGATATAAAAGAGTAACACTAAAACATCTTACTTTGATTTCTGGATAAACACAATGCTTACATACGGTGCGAACGGTCTTGCAAGGTCGTTTTTTATTGTTTCTACTAGTAATCTCAACTTTGTATGTCAGTCTTTATGTCTGTGGAAGAGTGATGGGCTTTTAATGTTCCTTGTAGGTGTTGTACCAAAATGCAAAATGTAACGCTGCAGGATAAAAATTTAATTTCCATAGCTCAAGGACCTAACGATATCCTGTGAATATAAGGAAGGCGTAAAGTGGTATTATAAGTGTCATTTATGTCAAAGTACCGGTCTACTGCCGTTCTCGCACATACGTAATACGATAAATTTACATATTGACGACGCTAACAATTCCACACCCAGTATGACACATAGATGGAATCGCTTTTTGTTCCAGGAATAAATTTATTCACAGTTAACAATATAATTTGCTCGTTAGTAAATACTATTAAACACAAAATGAAATACACAAGTAGTGTTCAACACTACGTTTTTAGCGCCTACATTTCAACGATTTTCAAGGTTTGTTTGAGGGGTGTGTTAATCCCACTTGTATGCTATGACGCAACCCTCACACCGGTGAGAATTACCCATTATATTTTAATAATTACCCTCGCGTTAACTTAATTAAATTTTTATTTAGACAATTCAATGAAATTACAGTCAAGTAACAGTGGTAACATAACTGACGGGAAGTGTTCATTGCCCAATATTACACAACTTCATATGCCTTTTAACATAAGTATTCATATAATATATAATCCACCTCTAAGAAAGAGCATCGTCAATGAACAAACGAAAAATGTTGTAGAAAACTCAATTGGAAAATTTCAAGTCAAAGTACTTACTAAGAATACAATATATACTAAGAATATAATAATACAAAGACTTACATAATAATTATTACAGATAACTTTTAAAAGAAAAAATCATAAAAATCTTTTAAGCAACATAATATACATATAAGACGATTGTATGAGACAACACTGACCTGTTGCCATACATAGTAAGGAAACCGCGGAGCCACGAGTGCTGCCGCAACTGTATGCGCTATGGGCAGTAGAAGTCCGAAGGCGGCGGCGACGGGTGCGCCTACTGGTAGTAAGGCATAGGCCGCAAATACTGCCCACACTACGTGAGCTGCTCCTTCGGCTGCTGCACCAGGGCTCCAGGCTGGTAGCGTTGCAGCTAGGGCTGTGCCCCCACCCGCGAGCGCAAGCCAGCATGCTCTTGGTAGCCGTCTCTCCGGAGCCACGCCACTTGCACGACCACACCACCACGCAAGCCCACCGCATAGAATAGCGTGCGCACTCAGCACACCCACCTAGGTAATATAATGGAAAATACATTCATTACTATTGGCAGTGAGTTTACTTTATGTAACGAGGTATACTTTTCGAAGCTTAGATAAATACTTGCTCGGAATGTAGTTCTGTTAAGAGCCGACATGAAAATTAATAGAGTATCTTTAAAAAGTCAAGGTAAAATATTTCACTGCTTAATCTTGTAGTGCAGAAAGTATTGCAATATTCATGATTTCAGAGTCTGATTCTTATTATCTTTGTGGCTATATAGAACTCGGGAGCTGCGATGGTTAAGAGATTAAAAAAGACAACATCTTTGTTAGTCTACCTTCAATTATTGCAACATATAATTTATATTGAAGTATAGACTTAGAAAATAATGAATAGGAAACTTGGTTTAAGTAGTTGCATACGCCATAATTGAGAATAATAAATATATATTTGAAGATAGAGATAAGAAATGAAGTTAAAGTTTTTTTAAATATCTTATTGTACCCCTGATCGATTTCGGGCACAGTTGCCATTATCGCTGAAACTAACCATCTACGGCTGAACCTGAAGCCTGATACCTCCGGGTCTACAGCTGATCTACTAGACCACCGAGACAGTTTAAATTTTAAATAATATTACATACCTGCGGCGCTCTGCGCCAGCCCCGTGTTGCGTCGACAGCTGCGAGTGCAGCGGCGAGCACAGCCCACAGTGCTAGAGCGGAGCCCACCGACGTGCGTTGCAGTTTGCACGCATACCGCGCGTACAATTCCTCTAGTTCGGCGGACTCAAAGCGGCGGCGCGCGAGTAGTCGGGCCACGGGCCCGCGCGCCGACATCGCCTTCACCGCGTGGTCCATGCTGCCTCACCTCGCCTGCGCTCCCTCGCGTACCGCCCGCCGCTTCATCTGAATAAAATGGACTATTATTATAATTGTGATTTCATCATCTCTGCGGGAGGGGAAAGAAAGTTTCTATGTGTTCATTATGTTTATTACTCCTTCACGATATAATGACAAGAAAAATTTGGGTAAAATTTAGTACACAGACTACGAACTGTAACAAATACGTTACTGTTAGGCACATAGCGAAGCAAGGGTAAGTCGCTAGTTATTAATAATTTTATATGTTGTTTTAAATCTAAGTAGGTACTCCAGAGCGTAATATCCGAGTTTCGCCATCTACATTAAATTTAAACTTTTGACTCGAAACACAAAAGGCAAGAGAAGAATGCTACATCCTCTCTAATTATTATTATTTGCGAAAATGTTATTAAATTATATTAAGATTTTGATGAATGCAAATTAGATATTATAATAATAGAACTAATTTATGTAACTTGGCTAAAACAAGTTAAGTTTTCATTTAACATTTCAGTTAGAGAATAGAAGCCAATAACTTTACAGATCAAAAGCCCTGAATACTAAATGTGCAAAATAACAAACCAACTACAGTATATACAGAAACAAAGGCTTAATAAGAGCTCTTTGTTTTTTGTTTTGTAAAAAGGAACTTATTATGTGACGTTTACAGGATCCTCTAAAGTTCACAAGCTTTTTTATATTTTTAATCCTTGGATATATATACAGGTTTGTGTTACTTTAATAAACTGTAAAAGATAATACAGTAAAGGTATATTTTTAAGGAAAGAATAGGCATGTTATACGACATTATATAATATTTAAGGGCCATTTTTAAAGTAAATAGTTCAAAATTGCTTTATTTTTGAGAATAAGCTATTAGACCATAGTACTCTTTAAATATAGTTTTCACTACCAGTATCGTTCAGTAATTTATTTTATACTAGCGACTCAGTACTAGTCGTCCCTAGGTTGATTCCCCATACAAACTTTCATCCCCATTTTCACCCCCTTAAGGGATGATTTCCGGGATAAAAATATCTCTAGTATCCTATGTCCTTCCCAGGGTCTCAAACTATCTTCTTACCAAATTTCATCTAAATCGGTTCAGTAGATCCACAGATTATCCCCTACAACGCCAGAAACTCACAATTTACAAACTTTACCTCTTTATAATATTAGTATAGATTAAGTTGCGTCGCGTTTATTACATTTATATTCCACGTATAGCTCAAGTGCACGATATTTTTTGGTTTTAGTAGGTAGTTCTTGGTAGGGTAAAGCGAATACACCCCATTACTCCTAAATTATATATTCGCTGACCGGCAGCCATGCTGTCATGAAACGTGCGTTTGTCACCACTCAATGCGGGGTAACTGGCAAGTGTTTAATCGCGTTGTTTCCACACCCGACGTCTGTAAGGGGTCTTATAGTGTGTTTTTGCGTGTAAAGATTAATTTATTAAGGTAGGTTAATTAAGAAATTGTAAATTTTTAATAAGTTAGGTTTTATATGTATCATTAGTTAGAAGATACTATGTACAAGAACAAGATTAAGTCATGGTTTATGATAGATATGAGATAGACATAATTAATTTAATTAACAAAATATTATACAACTTTGCCTTAGGACATTTTTCATTATTATTTTTTAATGCGAAAACATGTATATAGGTATTTAATTTTTTTTTTAAATATCCAAATAAGTCAATTATCATAAATATTTGTTATGATTAAGTACTTCAGCAAAAGCCTAAACAACACATGTGATAAGAAAAATATTTTTCTTTTCCACAAATTAACATAACATCACCTTCATAAAAAACGAACGAGTAAAAATAATAAAATTTTACCTCTTAATAATATTGTAGGCATGAACGAATTAGCCACTTCGTCCATGATTGTAAGATATCAACTTAAGATACTATACAAATGAAGCAGATTAATAATAAAAAAATATGATTGCTGCCAAGCCACTGATATGAATGAATAATTCAATAATACAAATTAATCTCGAAACAAAAACCTTTTATTTATTTCAATTTTGCTGTTTGCAGTACACTTGATAATTAATCCCGTAACATATATTTGTATTTAAACACAAATGTAAATTGCATGGCTATTTTGCGATATATAAATCGTTCAACTTGCTCTTTGTGAATTTAAAACTACGACGGAGCATTTGTGCAGTTGTTTGTATGTTAAACGCGCCGCAGGACCGCGCCGTACTCGATCGCCACTATGCAACAACGAAAAAGGTTTACTAAGAATTTAAAAACAAACTATAATGAATTGCTCATAAGTTATTTATATTCATGAATTTCTAAAATTATTTAAATTGCGCATTTTAGACTCCATAATTCAGTTCAATTAAACTATCACATTGTAACGTCTAATGTCTTAATTACTAAGCATATTGTATTTAGATTATAGGGAAATTGATTTATTTATCCACATTTGAAGTAAAACTTCTTTACGAAGAACGAGATGGAAAAAAGGATTGGCGTACCGATTTTCGTAACGGAAACGATTACGCTGGGCCGTTACGTTTACAATAATAATATTTCGCATTACCTACTTATAAATATTAAATAATCAATTAAAAATTATTTAAACTATTGGGTATGAATGTTTCAAAGAATAAATTAAATAAAAATAGATATTAATAAAAACAGTGCGCGTGTGTGCAAATTCACACATGTTAGAAATGAAACTTCAGAAAAGTAACCTAATAGAGAATTAGATGAATATAGAGTATCAGGAGTAGGATGATAGATTATAAGGTTTATTTTTTTATAATATTTTTACCAAGTTTAAAAGTTATTTTACATTTTATTTAAAATAAATATACATATTACATATTTATGCATATCACGATCATATAATTATAGAATATCATATACCGAAAATAAAAATATTATATTATATACTTGTCAGACAACAATGGTTACCATAACAACATAGCAATATATTCTATCTCATTCTCTCGCCGGATATGTGTCTTTTTTAACCGACTTCCAAAACGGAGGAGGTACTCAACCTTTTTTTTACGTATGTTGACCGATTACTCGAAGACCCCTGAACCGATTTGGATTTTTTTGTTTCGAAGGGTATACTTTCCAGGTGGTCGTCCCCCATTTAAATTTTATCGAAATCAGTCGAGCGGTTTTTTAAAAAATCAACAATAAATTTTTATTTTCTTATTTTTTAAATAAATTGCTTAATCGAATATGTTATTTAAAAAAATCTTCTTACAAATTCCCTGCTTATTAAGTACGTCCACACCAAAAATGGAAAAATAAAAACTTAAAAAAAAAACGACTTCCAGGCACTAAAAATATACTGGTTTTTTTTTTAAATTTTTGTTAGTGTCGCATTTTCATTTCATCAAGTTTCAAATCATAATGATTCTAAAGAAGTTTCACTTCAAAAATACTATTTTTAAATGAGCGATGGAGTCATATCAAATTATAAGTATTGTTAAAAAATATTTACTTAAAATATATTTTTTACATTTTAATACCGGAATAAAAATTATTCTTTGTTATTCTGCGATATGTTTTATCCATGTGTTACCTAAACAAATACATTCAGGATCTTACGTCTTATTGGTTTACAATTCACAAACATCCAATTCAATCTTCTCACACTTCCAATTTTATAATATTAATAAAAAAAATTAAATGAAAATAAAAAACAAGAAATAGAAATAATCTGCTGTACAATCAGCATTAAAACGCCTTAATTTACATAAGTAAAAAACCCCGTAACAACCATGGTTACAGCAAAATATTTTATGATCTAACTTTCACCAGAAGAAAGATGAACTTACGAGATATCAAGTCCTAGAGCATTAATAACATAAAAAGATTTATGAGACACTAAACAAGTACATTTGCGAATTTTTAAATGCAAAAAGAAATAAGAACGCGAATATTTCACATTTTAAATAAAACTATCTTTTCGGATTTTTTCGCGGATTTATTTTGATTTTTGGTTCCCGACGTTTCGAATGTTTTACAGCAATAGTCAACAGACTCTCCTGTGACCATGATTGAACTCGACGAAATAAAACCCGAAAAGATTTAAGATAGAGACTCAAACAGTCTATACATATAATAAAATTGTAACTAAGCCGAATCTGTACATTAGATATTTTTTGGAAAATCTTATTTAAATAAACATTATTATCGAAACAGAGGCCAAATCTAAAGTTTTTAGAATTTTTGTCTGTCTGTCGGTTACCGCATCGCAGAAAAACTACTGGAGGTATTTTGATGAAATTTGGTATGGTGATAGCTGGTTATCCGGGTCAACATATAGGATACTTTTTATCTCGGGAAAATATCTCATTTCTGAGAAAAAATACAAAAACTACTATGTAAGAGTACACTAACTTGTAAAACTTAAGAATTTGGTTTTTGGTCATCTGAACGTGGGCGGAGCCACGGGCAATGTTAGTCTACTATAAACAATAAATATGTTCGTCCTAATTTGTAATCTGGTCTGCATAACAGCTTTGTTTCTAACAGGTCAAAAATGTATGCGATTTCCAGATGTGATCTGAAACGTATACACTAAGTAATTCGTTCATCGTTGTGATGTTTAGTTGCAAATCGTAGGCACTGGTGGGGTACAGGGGGAAGAGGGGGTCACGGTCGTCGGGTCAATAAACTCAGTAGGCATCGCGGTAGAGTGTAGACGAATGGGACTCGGTACGCAGAGCGCCGCGGCGCTCGGCGCGCCTACTGCACTCCTATGAAAAAACCAGCCTTTCAAAACAACTACACAAACGAACCATTTTACAATGTCTACCACCAAAAAAAATTATTCACATTTATTTTACGTTCTGAAAGATGTTAGATATTTTAAATATAATAGTATGGATTGTTTATTTTGATTTAAAAAATAATGATAAGCCGTAATTATAACATATACATAAAATTAACATAAAATCCACGTTTTTACTGAGAATGTTATTATATTTATAGTTAGCCAGCAATAACAAAAAAAAATACTGTGACCATCCATAATCCTATTACTATGATC